CTTCTCCCTTTAAGCGTGAACTCTTCCTCATTGTTTAAACGTTCATCCAACCCCTCATCCCATGAAGCCTCCCCCTCAATAACTGCCCATCTCTCTCTCTCTCTTTTCTCCACACTCTACAAATTTCAGAGTAGTGCAAAAACAGTATTACAGCATATCAGAGAAAAATCATACAGAATTTTAAAATGTCAAATAAAAGTTCCAAAGAACTTTGGCCCATTCATTAGCTTGATAGTCTTTCTCTATCTTCAGTCGGAAAACAAAAGCAGAGAAAATGAGATCTGTGTTTCTAGGACGCTGTGAGGGTTAGCACAACAGAATTCCTTTGTTTGCCCGGCTGCTTGGTCAACACGGGCAAATCTAGCTGAGCATAACTAAAAGTGAAAACACTGGCCAAGGCCGGGCGTTGGTGGCACACGCCTTTAATCCCAGCACTTGGAAGGCAGAGTCAGGTGGATCTCTGTGAGTTTGAGGCCAGCCTGGTCTACAGAGCGAGTGCCAGGATAGGCTCCAAAGCTACACAGAGAAACCCTATCTCGAAAAACAAAAAACAAACAAAACAACAACAACAAAAGGAAAATGCTGGCCCAAGTACACCGCCAGCCAAACTAGTAAGATCATGATAACCACACAGCTTAATTGCACCCTGCCACCCCACATTTCTTAGCAGGCTTTTTAAAACTCACTGTGTATCCCAAGATGACCTTGAATTTCTGATTCTCCTGTCTCTTATCTCTCAAGGTCTGGAATTACAGCTATGTGACATCACATCTGATTTACGCAGTGCGGGGACTTGAACCTGGGGCTCCCTGCATAAAACAAACATCCGATAACGGCTCTCTTTGCTTATGAAATACGCAGACATATGCTGCTTCGTGGCAATATTGTGATGGACACGGTAACTATTAGCTACCTCGCTTTGCAAAAGAGGAATGGATGTCCAATGACCCGATTTCCTCTATTCTCTATGCTGTGTTCACGGAACCAGGGACAGAGCCCAGAACTTCAGCAAGACCAGCAAGCTCTGTGCCACTGAGCTCTGCAGAGACTTCAAGTGGCCCCTGATGGAGCTCAGGTCTGCACCTAGTGCCAGTCACACAGGCCTGTGTGGGCTTGCATTATTTCTGGCCCTGGGGTGTTCGCGATCAGCAGACCTGGACTGAACCCCTGAGAGTTCTCGGCAGTGCTACAGCGTATGTGCTAGGCTAACGAAAATGTAGCACTCCAAATTAAAGGAATGAACATTCATTCATTCGCCAAGAACGAAGATGTAGCACCCCAAATTAAAGGAACAAACATATACTCGTTCACCAAGAAAGATTCTAAATATTTAGATGAAAAGCAGTTGTTTGCTAAATAAAAAATCTTTTAAAAATGGGAAAGAACAAACGAATGAGATGAACTGGATAAATGCCTAACCGATTATGAGTAAATGCCTGTGTGACATGGGAGCCTTGGAGGTTGACCTTAGATTAGTTGTTCTTAGACTGGTCAGAGGGAAACTAAATGAGGAGTATATAGACGATTTAAAAAAAATAACCACACATCTGGATCGTTACGCGCCACACAAGTGAGGGGGACAGGAGGGACAAAGCAGAGTTACAGAGATTAGTAACTGGAGCTTGGGAGAAAGTGATCTAAATTTGTGTAGCCTGAGGCATGACTCAGGGGACATAATCACAGCCTATAAATACACTCCAACCAGCAAAATGTGGTAGATAAAGCCAATGAATTATTCACAGCCTCGCATTCCGGTCATTTCTCTTTGTCTAAGGGAGGCAACACTTTGTACCTGAGCTGGGGTGATCCTCAGAACGCAAACAGCTTTGGTTTTGAGACGGTGTCTTTGGTGTCTCGTACTCTGGCCGCCAAGTTTGTGATCTTCCTCTCCTGCCCTTCCAAGTGCTGGCCTTACACAGTACATCACCATGCTAAGCCCTAGTGATGGGTTATTTGATTTTCCCTTTCTTCCTTCCTTCCTTCCTCCCTCCCTTCCTTCCTTCCTTCCTCCCTCCCTCCCTCCCTCTCTTCCTTCCTTTCTTTCTTCCTTCCTTCCTTCCTCCCTCCCTCCCTCCCTCCCTCTCTTCCCCTCTTCCTTCCTTCCTTCCTTTCTTCCTTCCTTTCTTTTTTCCCCTTACAGATCTTTTGCACATATATTATGGTTTCCAGTGTCGTGTTTTTATGGGATTTATGTGTGTGTGAATGTGTGTCTCTGATGTGTTCCTTGTGCTTTTTGAGGGTTGCGGTGGGGTTGGGGGGAGACCTCTTTTTCTCCTGGTAGTTTGCTTCCTCCTATTCCAGTCCCTTTGTTTTTGTCTTATTTTATTTTTATTTTGTTAAGTTGCCTGATTGTATTCTAATGAGAGAGTGAAAGAAAGAGTACGGATTGGGGTGGGTGGGGGATGGGAGATCTGGGAGGATCTGGAGAGGGGAAACCATAATTAGAATATATAATATGGGAAAATGTATTTTCAACAAAAAGTAGAATGGCTTGCAAAAAAGTAAACTAGGACTAAACAGTGGTGTTGCACACCTTCAATCCTTGCCCTGGGGGAGGCAGAGGCAGAGGCAGAGGCAGATGAATCTCTGTGAGTTTGAGGCCAGTCTGGTCTACAGAGTGAGTTCCCAGAAGAGCCAGGGCTACACAGAGAAACGAAGAAGAAGGAGAAGGAGAAGGAGAAGGAGGAGAAGGAGGAGGAGGAGGAGAAGAAGAAGAAGAAGAAGAAGAAGAAGAAGAAGAAGAAGAAGAAGAAGAAGAAGAAGAAGAAGAAGAAGAAGAAGAAGAAGAAGAAGAAGAAGAAGGAGAAGAAGGAGAAGAAGGAGAAGAAGAAGAAGAAGAAGAAGAAGAAGAAGAAGAAGAAGGAGAAGAAGGAGAAGAAGAAGGAGAAGAAGAAGAAGAAGAAGAAGAAGAAGAAGAAGAAGAAGAAGAAGAAGAAGAAGAAGAAGAAGAAGAAGAAGAAGAAGAAGGAGAAGAAGAAGAAGAAGAAGAAGAAGAAGAAGAAGAAGAAGAAGAAGAAGAAGAAGGAGAAGAAGGAGAAGAAGGAGAAGAAGAAGAAGAAGAAGAAGAAGAAGAAGAAGAAGAAGAAGAAGAAGAAGAAGAAGAAGAAGAAGAAGAAGAAGAAGAAGAAGAAGAAGAAGAAGAAGAACTCTACAGAGTCTTGACTGGACAGTTTCGCAGTTAACAGGGTGTCTCTATTTTCTTTCCACTTTGATACAGAAAACCGCAGAAAAGGATTAACATGCCCCACTCGCACTAGATTAAAAAAATAGAACATGAAAAATGAAGTATCACACGAAATGCTTGGCTTTCGGAGAACACACAGGTTTAGAAGTCAAAGCTATGGGCTCACAGCCCACAGGTCAAACCGCGAACGCTGTCCACAGTCACAGTCTTCCCATCACCGCAGACCCACCCTTCTTGGTCTCACCTGGTAAACAACATCTCCCATACCCAGGTGTCTTTGTGCCCCACTGACTTGTGCGAACTATCACTAGTTATCACTTGATGACTCAAACAGGGGGCTTCAAAAGTCATCACTTTTCACACATTCCTTCCACCAGAGAGGAATTTGCATAGTTTCTGGGCTTTCTATTAAACCCTGTGATCTTCATAAGCCACAAGGTATTTTGAAGAAAACCTACCTGGTTCCAACCCTGGAGCAGCAGCCTAAATGGCTGAAATTCTCCAAACCGCAGCCAGCCCAGGTATTCCAGAGTCCACAGAGCCAAGCAATACTCTCTCTCTCTTTCCCATTCCCAGACTATTAGAAGCCTGTCTACATGTAGCTCTATGGGGTACTGAGTCTTTAAATGTGAATCCATATTAACGCAGCAGCAGACTGGCTGTTATGGCAGGATATTTCCCCAGTGAAGGTTCTCACATGGCTTTTTATTACTCCACATGAATTTTAAGGCAGACTGAGGCGTTATGCTGGAGTGTTGGCCAAAGGCTACCTGCTGGGAATGTGGCCTGCCAATCCCAGGAACTGGTCCCTAGGTAGGAATGATGAGTGTCCTGGGGATAGCGCCAGCCACAGAGAGACCATCTGGGGCTTGTTTCTCGGCTCTCAGCCATAGCCGCTCCCTTCACGCTCCAAATTCCAAATGGCCATCTTTTTTCCCAGAAGGTGGCCCAAGGGCACGTCTGTTGAAGCTGTATCTCTGTGATAATATCACTTCCCAGAAAGTATGCACTTTTGCTAACTATGATAAGCACACACACACACACACACACACACACACACACACGGCCTTGCATAAATGCCATATGGTGGACACAGAGGTCCATCAAATTCTCATGGATGCACACGCGCGTACACAGAACGGTGGAGCATGTGGCATTTCCTCCCTCACCGGTGTTCACCACAAGCACAGATGCATGAGCAAGTGTTGCTGGGAACAACATCCTACAAGAAGAATTTAGCAGGAGCTCAACCTCCATCAGATGCTTCTTTAGAATTGGTGGAATTTGCCAGAGCCACGGCATCAACACAGAATTATGGGAATTGGGAACAAAGGGATTATTCCTACTAGGAATGACAGGCTGAGTCTGAGTTCATCTGGAAAGTTTGGCTAACTAAAAGTGATGTCTTTTGTGCTGGAATCTTTCTACCTAAAAGCTCTTAAAAGGCTGTAATTATTCTGAGTTTCCAATTCAGCTCTTTTCAAATTAAGCCTTTTATTCTCTTCAGGGCTCTGCAAGCTCCCTCCGTGTGAACTGGGGGCATTTGCCAGGCACTGGGATGGCAAACTTATATTGGTTTTCTATACGTATCCATTTCCGGCGAGTTCTACACAGCTTTCGCATCCTCTGCGCCAAGAAAAACAAAGAAGCATTTGCACATCAAAACCTTTATCTTGTGCCCAGCCCTAGAATCCCTGAGCATGGCAAAATAAATCACCTATTAAGCAATGGCTGGTAACAGCCCAGGCAAAGTTGCTTTGCAAGCCAGGGCCTTTCTTCAAGGATAAAACCAGGTAAGGCAAGATCTCAGGCTTACCTCGTGGCTTCTGGGTCCCAGATCACCATGTCAGCGTCCGAGCCAACGGCTATCCTTCCTTTTCTCGGATACAGATTAAAGATCTTGGCTGCGTTTGTGCTGGTAACGGCCACAAATCTGTTTTCATCCATTTTCCCACTGTGCTGTTAAGAAGGGAGATGCTTTTGCTGTGATAACCAAACACTTAAGCCTCCTCTGGGTACTCAGAGGAAACACTTACCATCCATTCACCCAAACGATACTGTATCCCGTTCCCTACATCAAAGAGCTGCGTCTGTATATGCTCAGTATCAACCAGTTGCATCACTGATGAAGATGATGGCTTATAGAAGCCTGGAGATGACTTTTCAAAAATCCTAGCACATTAAAAGACAAATCTACTATTTCCTCCCATCTACCCCCCCACCCAAGATTACTACACATGATCGCTAAACGCTGACAATGAATTTTCCATTCCCGTATAAAGTTTTCTACCACCTACAACACTTAGGATCTGCCCTGTGTATTGCAGACCTACGATTTGTGAGATGATTGTGTAAATACTAGGTAAAATACTGAATAGTCAAAAGGAGACAGGTTATAACGATTTTAAATTAGTTGACAAGGCTTTGAGAAGATAGAAGATAAGCAGGAGAGGTACAGTTTTGTTCAATTTAAATTTATGTAAACCGGAAATCTTGGAAAGTCTACTTTAAGAAATTTTAATATGGAGTCCTTATAGGGCTTATATATGTATATGACAAGACATCCCTTAATATTTATTTAGTGATTTCTAATAATCTCAGAAGCAGGTCATCTTACTGTCTCAGAAAATTATACAATTTCATACATGTTAAACAAATATTCAATTATTTAATGATCATATTTAAAGGTGTATATAATATAACTATGTCTTTATGTATGATGGGAACTATAATGAGTTATGAAAATCTGATGTTATAAAGGTATTTACCGTAATAGCACAAGTTTAAGGAGGGAAGTTGCATTATAATCTAGAATATTTAAGCCAGGAGAAAGAGAAGGGAATCATCAGGGATGTTAGAGGTAAAAGAGGAGGGGGCGTGGTCAAAGAGGAAGATCAACACAGGGTTAGAACCAGAGAGATGTTTTGAAGACCCTTGTACTAAACTGATTGCTCAAACACTCCATTTGGTCATGGACAACACGGAAGTGTTTTTGAGAGGACGGTAACAGAGCTTCTCCTAGGAGTGGCGCCTCCCGGATAGGGCAGACCGGAACACTTGGTCACTTTGAATAAGGACATCAACTTTGAGGCTGTGAGGATGATTCAAACAAAATACGAGCCCCCATGAGACGGATATAGGCATGAGGAGGCGTTCTGAGGACACAAATCAATGAGACTCGGTGAATAAATAATGAGTGCGCCGACTAGTCTTATGTCAACCTGACACAGAGAAAATTCCTCCGTTAACCTGGATGCATGGCGTTTTCTTCATTAGCGATTGATCGGGGGCGGGGCCGTAGTCAGTATTGTGGGCGGTGCCATCCCTGGGCTGGTGGTCCCGGGCTCTATAAGAAGGCCGACTGAGCAAGCCATCGTGAGTGCACCGGTATGCAGAGCCCCTCCACGGCATCTGCACCAGCTCCCGCCTCCAGGCTCCTGCCCCGTTTGAGTTCCTTCAGTGACGGACTGCGACGTGGAAATGTGAGCTGAATCAACCCCCTCCTCCCCAGCTTGCTTTGGTCACCGTGTCTCGTCTCGGCGAGACACCCTGCGTAAGGACAATGAGAACTAGAAACGGCAGCAAATGTAGGAGAAACTCACCAAAGAGAATTCTCCAGTGTGAGATATGATTAACTGATTGACGTGTCATCTAGGAGAGGGGTCTTTGAAAAGCATGGCAGTGGGAGCCTGGGGGTCTACCTAGTCTTTCTGTAGACCTATAAGACTACACATGTCACCAGTAGAGACAGCTTAACTAACACACAATCTGTCTGTGGGGCTCTACTCCATCCTGGGGGGAAAAGTTTTCTTCATTCTCTCTTATTGCTAGTTTTAAAAATCGCTTTGCCCATAGATTTCAGTATCTATATAATTTCAGACAGAAAATTTAATATCCTTCATATATTGCTCTTCATCCTTTCAAATATTTACATTAATGACACGTGAAGAATAACCCTATCTGGGCCCAGTGGGAAAAGCCCACTGTTTACTGACAGTGCCCTGGAGGGTGGGAAGGGATGGGGTTGACAGCGACTGTGTGACTCCCAGTTTATCCTGAGAGGTGAGGCGGGGGAGGGGCTTCCTATGAGGGCTTGGGGTCCCCGGACGACATGATTTTGTGCGGAACTCACCACGCCCTTTTCCCATATCACCGACATCCGGTCCTCAACACCGTTCACCCCGTTGGGAATCTTAGTGAAGTCGTCTTTGCCCAGAGCTTTTTGGCAGGTGTTGAAGGTGCAGTTGTCACTCCCTGTTGTGGTCAGATCGCCACTGTAAAGAATGAAAGAGAGAGAGAGAGAGAGACCAATGAGGAGGCGAGGAGACAGCAGGTGTAGAGGAAACTCCTTGGTGTCTCTTAGCCTCTGTCTGCCTGCAATGGGAGGAGGCACGGGTAGACTTTCTGGGTGCATATCTTGCCTCTCCTCTGTGTTCATCGTTGGAAACACTTTTCCAGAACACATCATAAGGATTACGATGCAGAATCCCCCCCCAGCAAGCATGTCTTTTCCTGTTTTGTAAGTTTCCCAGGCTAGATGGAGGAAGGTGACTAGTTGGAGGAAGGAATGATCTGTGAGATGACAGGGTGAATGCTGGACTCTGACCAAGACATGAGTCCGTGGCGAGCTTGTCGATTATGGTTGCATGGACCTGACAATGTTAACAGGGGTGCTAGGAGCAATGTAGGTAGAAGTTTCTGTGTGTGTGTGTGTGTGTGTGTGTGTGTGTGTGTGTGTGTGTGTGTGTGTAAAATGTCATGCATAATATCATCATGGTGACCTATGACAATGGAGGCTTGTCCTCCAGATCAACCCATGGCCAGATGTCCATACACTTTGAACACAGGTGCTAAGAACAGCTGTGTCACCAGGGACAAAAATACTTTCTGGGATACAGAAGGGTGGGGGAGGAAGGAAGTTAGAAAAGAGAACAACTTTTGGTGTGTGTGTGTGTGTGTGTGTGTGTGTGTGTGTGTGGTGTAAAGCTCCCCATTAACTCAAGTTTGGGGACGTGTGAATGGGGGCATGGTAGAATGTTCAGAATGACTAGAAAGGGCTATTATCTGAACAACAACTTAGTCCTTAGATCATATCATCTTAGAGCATGATAAGTCCAGCGTTTTGTGCTCCCCAGAAGACCAGAAGGGTCCACAAAAACTGTAGGTATAGGAACAATTCTCCTCTACCCAAAGATGAGACTTGTAAAGGGTTATCTTTCACCCAAACACGTTACAGTCATCTGAAAAGTTATTACTTAGCCAACAGATTCATGAGGAAGCCAGGTGTTGAAGGATCGGGTCTCAGTGGAGGACCCATTACATGGTGGGCTGCATGGTGCCATTCCTTACTCCAGTGGTGCGTGCCGTCAGTGCCAAGACCTGCCGCGATCGGTTCTCCGTAGACCACCTTTCCTGGAATGTCCAAAGGCAGGACTCAGCCCCTTAATGCACTTTTAAGGAAACCACTGGACAAACACAGAGATTGCCATCTCTGTCCCAATAGGGGATGATGCTATAGCTTAACCATTTTGTGACCAGGACTCAATAGCTAATGACTGATAATTATTGAGCCTTGACTGTGTTCAATGTCCTAGCCACTTGACATCAAGCTGGCTACTTGCTTTGTTTCGATCAATTAGATTAATCAAAAATGACATGTTCTGCCTCCAAGCCTAGGCTATTACAACCGTCTCAGATTCTGCTATCTCTTTTTCTTCTGTCATCACTCTGGGAGCATCACAGAGAGGAAGAGGCTATCTAGCGGAGATAGAGCCAACCCATGATGGTCGTGGACACGAAGGAAAAGAGGAAGTAAACCTCTAGCTGTGAGAGCCTCCTATATTTGGCTCCACTGTTATTGAAGCATAACCCAGAGGATGCCAGGGGCTACAATGCGACCTGATAGTGCGATTTGAAAAATTCTATTGGGTAAGTGCTTTCAGTGTCTCGATTAAAGATAAATCTACAGGGTTATGTAATTTCTCTGCAGCTACTTTTTTAGTTTTCTTTTTTTTTTTTTTGAGATAGGGTTTCTCTGTGGCTTTGGAGGCTGTCCTGGAGCTCGCTCTTGTAGACCAGGCTGGTCTCGAACTCACAGAGGTCCTCCTGCCTGTACCTCCTGAGGGCTGGGATTAAAGGCGTGCGCTACCACTCCCTGGCCCTATCTCTCTGCAGCTACTTTATATACACCATACATATGTGGTGTGGACCAGGCAGGAACTGAATACATCAATTTTGTGTCAGTGGCTTCAACTCTATACCATTAATGAATCCATCAGGCTCCAACCATGGTGTATCTCTGCCACAGATTAATTGGTAACCTTTTAACACCCTCTACAGGAACTTTCTCTGAAGACCTATATTCAATAAAGGAACACTCAGATAATAAAATTGTGGCCCGAAATATGCGTGCAAACCAGGCCATCCAAAGCACACAGTGTCAGAAAACTTAATAGCGCACAATGAATTTGAATTTAAAATCAGGCTCCTATCTGATTAGCATTTGTCAGAATAATAGATTCACTGGCAGCAACCTCATCACACGCAAGTAATCAAAAAGAGAGAGAGAGACAGAGAGAGAGAGACAGAGAGAGAGAGAGACAGAGAGAGAGACAGAGACAGAGACAGAGACAGAGACAGAGAGCAGAGACAGAGAGAAACATGGTGAGGAGATTGCAGCATGCCAAATGAGCTCACTCTGGTTAATCAGATGATAATTTTTAGTTACAATCCAGATACGTGACCGAAGGTAACTGATTTCCTTAGGGAGTTACACACAGTGGATGACCACCAGCTGCCCAAATCTTCTAAATGGAAACGAAGCACCCTATTATCTCACAGATCCATGCCTCCTCCAAACTACCCTCTTCCTCCAGTTAGCCTAGGAAACAGAGAAACCGTAAAAAGCGAGGCTTGCTAAAGCCTAGGGATTTGACTTCTTAAGTAACCAAGTTCCACTCGCCGGCCTGCGAAAGTGATCCAACCCCCCGCCCCCAGGAACCCAGACACTGCTCCTAGGCTTTGCTTCTTCGACACACCCACGCCCACGCCCCCTCCAGGTCCACACTGCCCTGAACTCCAGAAGAGAGAAATGACTTTAGCATCTCTCAGGGGCATGCGGGACAAACAGCAGTCGTGTAGAGTGAACTAAGAGGTAGCAGTCGCTATTGTGAGAGGCCACGCAAGCTCCGTTTGTACTCCGAAGAGAACTTGGCTGTCCCGGGGTCTCTTCTCCCAGTTGCTGGGACGAGGCGACTCTGACTTGATTGGCAGTCGCTTCATGAGGTGCCGCCTCAGGATTTTCCACGATGCTTCATCCTCAAGGAAAGGTCCTTGTCACGTGTTCAGTTCAATCAGTCGGCACAACAAGATGGTACCGGAGCATGGCTCCCTGACTTCTCCCATCTTAATAGCTCTTGGGAAAAAATTAAATGCCACTGTCTGTCAGAGTCCGCCAGGTTCCTCTGAAAGCAGATGATGGGTAATTTCCTCAGAAGGGCTAAGCTCCTTTCAGATGTGACAGGCTAGTTTTTTTTTTTAGTGTACACAAGCTCTTCATTAAGGGGTCTATTTTCATCTTTATTCTCATTACATATGTATGAACATAAAAAAATTAAAAATAAAAATTCCAAATGCCTCGTTGCTCCCTTCCACAAGTTTGAAAAGACCAGAACTCACAAAAAGAAGTATAAAGGAGAAGAAAACCAATGAATCTGGTAGTTCAGAAATTGGAGAATCAAACTACAACGTCCAACCTAATTATGAGTCCTGATAGGTTTGAGCTAAAAACAAGGCATGGGAAGTCACTAGCCTAGGTGTGGTATGCGTGACTTTCAAAACTCTTGCCCGTGACCTGACTTGGCCTCACAGCAACACCTCAGGCTGGTTTGATAAATGAAGACATTGATACTCTCTGAGACTGACTGATTTGCCAGAGATACACTCGTGGGCAGTGGCCTCACCAGAATGAAAGCCTTCCTCCTGTGATACAGGACCATGGACACATCGTTCCTAAGGAAAGCGTCTCTCGTTTCTATTCCTTAGTGAAGAGCATACAGTTTTTAAATATCTTCAGTCCCCCACAAGCTGTCTGTGAATGTGACCAAGCAATTAGCCCACTTCCCTTCCTGGTTTCCTTCACTCTGCATTGCAGGCGGCTGTGAACAGCTCCGAGTCCATCTTCTGTCTTCTGATTGTGCTTGCAAGCAGATGGCTCCAATAACTCTCCATCACCGGTTTCCTCTTGATAGGCTGTGCCTTCCCTATCCACAGAGAGTCTCCATAGTCTTTTTCTGTCCTTTGGCATGAAACCAAATCTATGAAGACTCTATCGTCCCGTTGCAACCTCCCGCTTAACTGCATCTCTGAAAGGCTCTAGAGATTTCGGGGTCATGAAGCAAGTTAAGCCAGTGGGACTCTCAGTCACTGGACAGTTTTAAGGGAGGGAAGTGACGGAGCGCACGCTGCTAACCTGCATGGAGCCTTGCACCCTGAGGTCTACAGAAGGAAGTTAAAAGGTGAGGAGAGGCCGTGCGGGTGTTGAGGAGAATGCATTGACTACGAAGTCCAAAGATAGCTACGCTTTTCAAAGCAAATGCCCTACTAAGTAATAGGGTGAAGGCCTGTTGAGCTGCACTGACTCAAAATCATATTTTTTTTTTTTTTTTGGTTTTTCAAGACAGGGTTTCTCTGTGGCTTTGGAGCCTGTCCTGGAACTAGCTCTTATAGACCAGGCTGGCCTCGAACTCACAGAGATCCGCCTGCCTCTGCCTCCCGAGTGCTGGGATTAAAGGCGTGCACCACCACCGCCCGGCTCAAAATCGTTTTTCTTTAGGAAGAAGAAAATACTTGAAGAGAAAATTAAACAGAGGCAGGGTAGTAGAACAGTTTGTGCAGATGTGAGTTCAAATCCTGATGTTGTATGTTTTAGCATGTGATGAATCAATGTTCTTCATCTCAGTTTTCTCAGGACAGAGAAAGCAAAGGAAAACATTTTGTAAAATAAAAGCAAAACCAAGATATTTTTTAAAGCAGAAGAAAAAAGTGGAAGGCAATGAAGATGTTGGTGGAGTTGATCCCAGGGAAAGTAAATAAGCAAACCGAGAAAATAAATAGGGAAGAAATAACAGAAGAAAAAACTTCAGAATCAAAAATCAGCCTTCAGATTAAACTATGCCCTAAACATGAAGGGGAATTATTCAATGCTTATGATCCAATGTGGGTTTAATGAAATTTATATATCCCTAGGATGGGGGGGGGGGAAATGAGACTATTCCAGATAGTAAACTGGTTAGAGAGAAAAAGCAAACAGTTGTGTGGCATTGGTAACAGTACCAGAATGAAATCGCTCTGTCAAATAAGTAATTTGTGACTGTCTTAGTTTGGGTTTTTTGTTTTTGTTTTTGTTTTTTTACGAGACAGGGTTTCTCTGTATTGTTTCGGAGGCTATCGGTCCAGCCCAGCCTCGAACTCACAGAGATCCGCCTGCCTCTGCCTCCCGAGTGCTGGGATTAAAGGTGTGCGCCACCACCGCCCGGCTCTTAGTTTGGGTTTTTATTGCTGTGAAGACACACCCTGACCACAGCAACTCTTACGAAGAGAACATTTAGTTGTTGTGCTTTGTTTATAATTCAGAGGTTCAGTCCATCATGACTGTGAGGGCACCAGATCTCATTGTAGATGGTTGTGAGCCACCATGTGGGTGCTGGGAACTGAACTCAGGTCCTCTGGAAGAGCAGCCAGTGCTCTTAACCTCTGAGCCATCTCTCCAGCCCCTATTCTTCCAAAGTGCTAAGATAATGATATGACATTTTTTAAACATAATTGTAAAGCCCCCAAACCAGTTCATTATTTTAAATGTCCAACCAATTAATAATAAAACACAGTGTGTACCCACCCCAGATCTAGACCATGTTCTTTCATAAAGTGAGAAGGTTTGGCTTTGGGTTGGTGGACTTGGACTGGACCTCTAGACCTAGTGATTAAAAAAAACCTTAGAACCCTACTCTGTGAGGCACATATTGTGTTAGCTGTTATGATCACAGCCCATTCCTTCTGGGTATACATTTAGCAGTTGAGGTAGAAAGTTAAATTTAACATCATTGTACCCCTAAGTGACCATAGAGGCCATAAGTGATCGGATAACCTTTGTGCTTGCATTCTGACTTTAATAAGCATTACAAGGCATACACATTAGGTCCAGAGGGTCTGGGATGGGCGCCCAGGCTCTGCATGTTGCTCCTAGACAACACTAGTACCGCATTCTGAGACCTATTGTTAGCCCAGGAAGGAAGAAGCAGGTTGTAAAAGCATTTATATATTTTCACATTATAAACTCGTAAGAATAAGTTCCTTCTTCTTTAAATAAGGTTACAAACAGCGGGTCTCTATTGTACTTTGCTGTTGAGAAATGTTGTTAGAAGATGATGAGTTACATAAGGTAAGCGAATCCTTCACGGAAGGTCAGTGAGGTCCACGGGCTCCTAGCCATTAGCACTTTAAGAATCTGCCCTTGTGTTTGCTGATGCAGTCACCATGGGGGGTGTTTGGGTCTGCTAGTCCCTCTCCTTTTCCTTCTGGCTCCTCCATCACACGCCCTCCCCTCTCCCCTTGCCAGGAGGAGTAACACTCACAGGATGGGTCTGCTCATGCTGAATCATTCTGGAGCTCTACTCTCTATGACAATTGCATACAAGGGTACTGTTTACAGGTTTGCAAAAATACATGCCCATTTAATCTTTGAACCAGCAATCCCACTTCTAGACGATCCTTTCTTTACGTTAGGCGCACAATGGGACCATAAAGATGGTCACGCGCCAATCCATAGTTTGTTCGTATGTTACCTAATGTAGTAAAAGGGACCTTAGAGGCACGGTTAAGAGCCTTGGGGTGGGGAGATCATTCTCAACTAATGGCGTTGGTTCAATGCCCCACAAAGAGCCTTAAGGTGGAGGAGAAAGACAAGAGGCCATCCAGAATAGGATGGCGTGAGCAATGCTCAATGCAGCACGGTCGGCCTTAAACATTCTGGGAAGTGGGAGCCAGGAGCTGAGAAACCTGAGCAGGCTCTGTTGCTGGGAGAGGCAAGGAAGGAGCGGGGCTCTCTATCCTCTAGAGGAGGAAGGGGCGGGGCTCTCCAGACTCCAGGGTACTCTGTCCTGTAGAAGGGTAAGATAACAGATTTAAGTCACTAAGCTTGTGGCAGTTTCTTACAGAGGGGACAGAAAAGCCTCACACCTTCTGCAAACACTGAACAGTCTCTGCAGGAGACCACCACGGTGGTGGTCGTTTGTAAGAGCCGAAGCCACAACAGACCACCAGGGGAGGATTATCTGAGTAAACTCAGCGGCATATTCTCGATCTACAAATGGAAATGATGAAAACCCAACCTCTGAGGGCTAGCCTCGAGGACATATTTCTAACAGAAAAAAACAACAACAACAACAAGGGGAAAATACTAGCATGTTTTTTGTTGTTGTTATTATTTTTTTGTTGTTGTTTTCTTATGAAGGAAAGAAGAGAAACAGAAACATATAGGTAATTTTACTTTTTAAAGAGAAACTGTCCATTTGGGCCTGAAATAAGTGTACAAAAATTTTCTTATGGGCAATGACAAAGAGCTACAAGGAATTAAACTTCTTTGAACAATTTTTTTGCATATAATTTTGAAACTTGGACTAATGTAAAATGATAAGCAGCTCCCACATTCAGGAAGTAAAATTGTATTTAAAACCGATTTAAAATAAAATCAAAATGCCCTTTGATTAAGACTAATAGTTGTCTTTGGCACCTAGATCTTTATAACTGGCTCCTAATTGAATTTTGTCCACCGATAGAACAAGAACGCACCACCAAGAAACAGCTTCCTGCCTGAACTTTCAAAATCAGGCTAGGATAAGATTGACTTTTCTGGATGAGCGGTGGTGGCACACGCCTTCAATCCCAGCACTCAGGAGGCAGATGCAGGCAGATCTCTGTGAGTTCGAGGCCAGCCTGGTCTACAGGGCGAGTTCCAGGACAGACTCCAAGGCTACAGAGAAACCCTGTATCAGAAACAAAACAAAATAAAGCAAAACAAACACAACAACAACAAAAAGATCGGCATTTCTGCAGATCTCTGTGTTTACTCTGGTCTAACATCATGTACCTGGTGTGACACAGAAAAGCCATTCCACAGAGCTGACAGCATCACCATCTGGTGGTGAAAAGCTATAACTGCAGCTTGGGTTTTTCTGCTACTTTCTCTTTGGTTTTGGTGAGGGGCGGGAGAGGGACGGAGCAGTATTGGTAGTGAGACCTCATTCCTAACATAGAATACGGTGGGTTACATTTTAAACGTCCATATGGTTCACAAAAACCTATTTTTTTTAAAAATTTTTTCAAGACAGGGTTTCTCTGTATTGTTTTGGAGGCTGTCCTGGAACTCGCTCTGTAGACCAGACTGGCCTCGAACTCACAGAGGTCCACCAGGCTCTGCTTCCCGAGTGCTAGAATCAAAGGTGTGCGCCACGACGCCCGGCCAAATTTTCTTTCTCTTGCATGACCTATATTCAGACTGAACCAGAGAACTGAGGCAACAATCAATTTAAGTTAAAAAATAACCTTTAAACCCGTAATCATTAAGATGTTTTGGGGTGGGGGTGCATGTGACTGCTTCAATTGACCCAGCATCCAAGGCGCTGTCAGACAAATTGATTCAGTTCAAAAACAAGCTCTTGGACACGAACTCTGCCTCGGCCCGGTCTGGAGTTAGCAGGGTGAGCAGCGAGATGATCCAGACATGTTGGAAGTCGCTTGTAAAACTAGCTTTAAAATTAAAATTCACTATAACGTTAAAAATAAAAATAAAATAAAAAGACAGTGGCTGCTTAGGGCGTTGAGAGGAAGACTATGACTAGTTTGACGATCCTGAGCATACGGAAGGAAGAAGTAACCCGGAAGGAAGCGGCGCTGGTGTCCTGCCAGCCCCAGGGGGTGGGGCTCACCTTCTCTCCTCGCGTGGGCTACCACCTTCGCTGCGGATTTGCTCATCACGTGCACCACGTAGAGAGGGCAGTTCACCGCGCTGGCTATGGTGATGGCCCTCAAAGTTGCCTCTGCCTCCACAGCTTCCGGACGGCACAGCTCATGCCCCTCCGGGCCTGTTATCCCCAATGCCAGCATCTTCTTTGCTCCCTAAAAAGACCGCAAGAGACCTGAGCAAGGGGGAGCTCGTGGTCCCCAGGCGGACATCTGAGAAACCAGCAGAGGACGGAACCAGGTATCCCTGAACGGGGGTGTCAGTGAGGAGGCCTGGGCAGTCTATGGGGCCTCTGGTAGTGGATCAGTGTTTATCCCTAGTGTACGGATGGACTTTAGGAGCCCATTCCTCATAGAGGAATACTCTCTCAGCTTAGACACACGGAGGAGGACCTAGGCTCTGCCCCAAATGATGTGACTGACTTTGATGATCCAACATGGAAGGCCTCACCCTCCCTGGGGAGCAGAAGGGGGATGGGATGAGGGTGTTGGTGGGTGGCAGGGGAGGATGGGGGGGGAGGGAACTGGGATTGACATGTAAAATAAGATTGTTTCTAATTTAAATAAAAAAATTAACTCTCAAAAAAAACCCAAAACAAAAACAAGCAAGCAAACAAACAAAAAAGACATCAAGAATGTAAAAATAGGTAGCAGGAAGGATTACTAATAACAATGCCATTGTTTTTTGGTAATTGAATGTTCGGATAGACTTTTAGGTCAGCCACAGGTGTGTAGGGCAGAGCACGCATTGAATGTTCGGATAGACTTTTAGGTCAGCCACAGGTGTGTAGGGCAGAGCACGCATGTGCCGATCGTGTCCATTAGGAGTACACAGGCATCCTTTTACTTTCAGCTGCTTTTGATTGGAAGGGGGAAGGGGGAGGAGGAGCTGAGGAGCCTGGCCAGTTGATAAAGTACTCGCTGTGCAACCGTGAGAACCTGAGTTCAACCCACAGAACCCACGTGAAGACTCCAAACGCGGTGGTGGGTGCGATTGTAATGTCGGGGAGGCAGAGACAGACAGAACCGTGGGACCCACTGTCGGCCAGTCTGGCCTAATCGGTGAGTTCCCAGTCACTGGGAGATCCTGTCTCGTTGCCCTTGGGTCTCCACAGTCTGTCTGTCTGCCTATCCCACCCCTGAAAAAGATGAGAAAGTTTCTTCTCACATCCCATAAGAAGCACTGCCCAACACTGTCCGTGCTTGAGACTCAATAGAGTCAGTCAAACAAAACAGACCCTTGCTGAGGTGAGTCGTTGTAATACATTGCTCAAGTAGTTTTATTTTTCTATGGAATCGTAGTCTCCACCTCTCCCAACTCAATCCACTAATAATATTAGATCTGTTATTTTCAAGTTTCCTTCCTTCCTTCCTTCCTTCCTTCCTTCCTTCCTTTTTCTTCCTCAAAAAGTCACGTTTCAGAGGAATGACTCCGCTTGCCCGTGTCACACAGTGAGGAAGTCACAGCATCAAATTTAAACTCTGGCCTGTCTGAGTCTATAGCTCACACTCCCTTCTCATTCTTCCCACAGCGTCCTGGCTACTGAGATGCAATCTTACTTACTTTAACGGGAGCCAAGCCCGGGGAAAGAAAAGAAATCAGCTAGCAGGAAGAGTATGGAGACAGTTCTCTAAGTCCTGCAGATGGTGTACCCTTTGGGCATTAGTAATGGAACTAACACGAGAAAGAAACATCTCTGGATTCCCCGGAGCACATTTTAATACCTGGGAAGCATACGGCTTTTAAACGCTACCTGCTCCCTCATCAGGACCACGCTGATGCCCACACATTAGCGTTCAGTACCAGCAGCCCAAGCCTCTGAAAACTCGGACCACAAACCAGGGATGTAGGGAAATGATTTACAGGGGTCTGGAGAGACGGCTCGGCAGCGAGGGGTGCTGACTGCTCTTCCGGAGGACTCGGGTTCGGTTCCCAGCACCCACACGGCAGCTCCCCACTGTCTGTAACTCCAGTTCCAGTCTATCCAACTTCTCCTAACCTCTACTGCATGCACAGGGCACACATGAACTCACGCGGGAACACACATATGTAAGCAATACAGAAAGCAACAGCACGTTATAAAAACTGAATATAGACAGTTGGTTGCAAAAGGAGAGTTCTTCACCCAACCATGTAGACCCAGCGAGCAAAATCAAAGGCAGTGACCAAGAAAGCCACGTCAGGTGCCTTTGCGACACAGACAACGCGTGACCTGGTTTCTGCCCTCCCGTGTGCCCAGTCTACGTTCTCAGGGTCCAGCGTCCTTGCTTCAAGTTTCTGCTGCTCTCCTGTCTGTACAAGGTTGGAAAGGGACGCTCACCTCTGCAATCAGGTCTCCATTCTCCGCGTGCACTTGAGCTATGGCTCCGATTTCCTTGCACCGAGAGAAGGCTGCGTACATCTGTTCGTCTCGCACCATATACACGCCTTTGTAGGCCATAAACATCTTGAAAGAGTTAACTCCTTTATCTTGGACAAGGGTTTTCATTTCTTCTTTTACCTGGGAAGGGGAGAGGTTGACAGGCACAACAGCGCACCCCTCACTATTTTAAACAGCAGTTTCACCATTCCCTCAAAGATTATATTCAGAAAAGAAAGGAGCAGCGTAAGGGTGACAGCTTCCCTCAGAAACACGAAGCGAGACCCACAAACTTGCTCCCAGGTCACGCCCCCGTTTCACCTGATAAAATGCTGCCGTGATAGCCTTAAATCATGGGAGTTAGCAGCGTTCCCCAAAGCACTTCATTACCGTTCTTGAATATAAAATTCTCTGCGTCTATCTTCCAATTAGAGGGGGAAAAATGTGAAACCGCACGGCAGCGACAGTAGCAACCATGAATCAAAGCTTACGTGTGCGAAGAGCTCAGGCTCCAATTTAAAAGCTATAGGCTGTGTTCTCTGAGGGAAGTAGTGGGCAGGCCCAGGTTTGCCTGAGGAAGCACAACCTGAGTGTTGTGCTGCTGTGTCCCTGCAGCACACCAGGGAGGGGAGAGGTCACTATTGGCAAGATTCTGGAGCAGTCAGAGGTTGGGGGAATCTTCAGAGTTATCAGATATCAAAGGCAAGCCGAAATCAAAACACCCAGTAAGGGACCTTGAAGGCCAAATTCAAGTGTCAAAATGGATTAAGACTTCCAAAGGAATGTTGTCTGAAATTCTATAGGACACACACACACACACACACACACACACACACACACACACACATACAAACATACATGTGCACACATGCACACACATACATACATGCATATACATATGAAACACACATATGCACATTGCACATGCATGCACGCACACACAAAAGTACAGCGAGCAGGGCAGGAGTGCTGCTCATGGCTGATAGAGTCTCTTCCGACTAGATGGGATGGGGTAGGGTACCATGTCTTGGCACAGAGGGGAAGCTCAGAGAGAATGAAGTGACAAGACAGCTGTCCCCAGCCAGAAAGGGAAGTAAATTCTATTAAGCCACACTGTTATGGCAGCCAGAACGCTCTCTCTCTCTCTCTCTCTCTCTCTCTCTCTCTCTCTCTCTCTCTCTCTCTCTCTCTCACACACACACACACACTCACTCACTCTCAAATCCACAGGCTGATGGTTAGTGAGGTCTTCTTTCTCTATAGGTCTAGTTCTTAGAACATTAGTTGCCTAATATGTGGAGAGATGCTAGTCCAGGTACAACGAGGAGTGTCTGGTTCCAGCCATGGAGTTTTTTTTTTAATGGACATTTTTGCTAAAAGAGTCTAGCAAGAGACTTTCTTTGGGATGGATATTTAAAAACTGCTTTTTAAACTACCCAGATAACTGTATATACCCATAACGTAACAGAAAAAGAGAACACTCCCCCACCCCCAAAGAGAAACCTTGTTAGCCAAGTTGGAGTAAGTACACAGACAAAGAAGGTTAGCTTTCTACTCATTAAAAAGCACTAAGATGCAGGCGGTGATGGTGCACATCTTTAACCCTAGCACCTGGGAGGCAGAGGCAGGCGGATCTACGGGAGCTCCAGGTTAGCTTTGTCTATATAATGAGTTCCAGGACAGCCAGGACTATGTAGAGAGACACTGTCTCAAAGAAACAAAAAACGAGCAACAGGAAAGCACCAAGCTGAGCACGCGGGCACACTCTGTAGTCTTGCCTCTCAGAGGCACAGGCAGAAGGACAGTTTCAAGGCCAGCGTGTGACTACAGAGTCAGCCCCTCTCCATATTAAACACGGTAGTGTCCATACTCTCGCCTGCTATTACAGGCAGACCTTCCTGACTCAGACAGACAGACATGACTGTTCAGCCGTCATCAGGGAAGCTCCCTCCTGCAGCAGCCAGACATCACACAGAGAGTGAGATGTCTTGACCTTGGAACAGACAGCCTGAAATGGGATGGTTCCATCAAATTCCTGTCTTCAGGGCTCAGAGAACCCAGCAGAAGAAGAGGTGTAAGGACTGTGAGAGTCAGAGGATACGGGGACATCAAGAAAGCAAAGCCCTCCAAATCGACACAGGCAGAGCTCATATGAACTCACTAAGACCGAGGCATCATACCCGGGGCACACATGGGCCTGTACCGTGTCCTCTGTGTCTGCATTCTGCATTCCAGGTTAGTGTTTTTTAACGGGATTCCTGGGTGTGCAAACGAGAGGGTCTCTGGTTCCTGTGCCTTCTCTTGGGCTCTTTTCCTTGTTTTGGTGTGTGTTGTCCAACTTCAATGCAATGGTTTTTGTTTGATTTTATTAGACGTTATTTTGGTATGTTTTATTATTATCTCTTAGAAACCTGTTCTTTCCTAATGAAAGACGAAAAGGGGGTGGGTCATATGGGAGGGAGGGAGGGAGGGACTGGGAGGAGCAGAGGGACAGGAAATCATAATCAGGATATGTTATGTGAGAAAAAAAAACATTTTCAATAAAAGGGAAAAAAAGACTCCAAAGAATCTTCATGGGCTGGAAAGGTGGCTCAGAGGTTAAGAGCAGCCCCTGCTCTTCCAGAGGTCCTGAGTTCGATTCCCAGCAACCACATGGTGGCTCACAACCATCTGTAATGAAATCTGGTGCCCTCTTCTGGCCTACAGGAATATATGCAGGCAGAACACTGTATTCATAATAAATTAATAAATCTTTTAAAAAGTAAAAACAAATGAATGTATAATTTTTTTTAAAAAAAGAATCTTCATAACATGAAAAAACTGTTTAGCAAATTGCCTTGTGTGTCCCCTAACCCTTATGTTAAAGTTCTAAAAACCATAGGTGTGGTTAGCTACAATGATGTCATCAATGTGTGCTCCAATCCCCACGACTGGAGGCCTTGGAAAAGAAGATCGGGAAATGCAGGGTTGTATAAGGAGCTGAAAGCAGAAGTCAGGATAATCCTTCTTCAAGGCCAGGGTCACAGAAGATTACCACAGAGAGCTAGAAGCTTCTAGAAAAGCACGGGGCGGAGCCTTTTGCCCTTAGGACAAACCAATCACCAGATACCTTAGGCTTCGAACCCTCAATACTGAGAGACCACAAATTTCTGTTGCTCCAGGCTACACTGAGCACTTGGCCATAGGAACACAACAGATCCTGTATTTGGGGGAATCTCTCCTCTTGTTAACGTATGGAAAGGACTGGTGAAAGCTGTTGTCTTTGTCTTTGCTCTCTTGAGAAATAGGAGCGGGGAGGAAAGGAAAGGGGAAGGAAGAAAAGGGGGGACAGATGGAAGGGTTTGCCTGTAAAGTTATAAATAGATGCAACCCGTCCATTAGAACATTGTTTGGGGAGAGAAGTCAACTTGGGCCGGTGGACTATGACCCTTGAAATGATGTTTGCTGGGTTACTCGTTACAGAGTTAACTCTTGGGTTTTTGTTGTTGTTGTTTTGGTTTTTTTCGAGACAGGGTTTCTCTGTATTGTTTTGGAGGCTGTCCTGGAACTCGCTCTGTAGACCAGGCTGGCCTCGAACTCACAAAGATCCGCCTGCCTCTGCCTCCCGAGTGCTGGAAGTAAAGGCGTGTGCCACCAAGGCCCGGCTCTGTAAACTCTTGTTTTATATTCACTTGGTGTCTGGAACAAGTTTTGAAGGGGAGGTGGGTGTGTGAGCTACTCAAAATAGCATTGCCGTATTTCACGCATGCCCCTAAAATTTCTGAATGAAGTCTAATGTGAAGAATGAGTTGGGGTTTAAATCTTACACACACACACATTTTCAGTAGAGAGACCAACATATTTTAACGGCTCTCAAAGTCATCTTTTCTATCTGAATCTTACCATTTTCATGGCCTAAATAATTACCGGGCACGGAAGGGTGTTTTGAGGTCTGTTGTAAATGGTTCTCAGGTGGCATTGACAGATTAGAGTTGGGAGAGTCCAAGTCACCCCTGGACACAGCTGGGAAGGGGCCTTGGGAAGGACCCCAGCTTGCCTTCTATAGGAGTGGAGGCCTCCAATTTGAATGAATTCTTAAACTCAGAATTTCTCCGATGTTTTTCTCAGACACTGAAATTTTCTAAGAGCGAGAGTAACAGGGATAGGTACCGTGACTGCTAGAGGAAACATCAGCAGTCCCTGGATTAAACACGGGCCGGCCCCACTGTGGATGGCAGGTTGGATTTTTCAACGTGCGCTTTTTACATGATGTTTTTACATCTCAGTGTTTTGAGTGTAATCTGTCACAGTGCTCAGAATTCAACAGATTTGGAAGGAAGTACAACAACAAACTCGTCCTCCACTCCCCCAAGTCGCCCCCAGGCAGGGACATCACCAGGGTTTGCCATTTGACATAGCCAGCTCCTGGCTCCCATTCAGAGCAAGGGACAAGGGGACTGAATGGAACACACCAGAACACACCAGCCGCCTCACCTTGTCACTCCACCACGTCACTGCCACGTGTAGGCTGTAGTCACAGCAGACTTTGGGGTCTGCCCAGCTGCGCCAGGTCTCGAAGGCCTCGACCAGGGAGCTGCCTTTCTGCGGGATGGCGAAATCCATGATCATGGTGGTACCGCCAGCCAACGCAGCCTGGAATCACAAGAGGGTGCCGGCCAATGAGCCATCCATCTCTGGGTAGATTACCTGCCACTCTGTGAACCCTGGACCAATCTGATGGGCCCAGGAAATGCCAAAGAGACTGCTTTTTTTTTAAACGGACTTGAGGGGCACGGATACCTTCCCCAGAAACCGAATTTCAAAGCCTTACAACGTCTGGGACTGCTTCTGAAAAAGAAAACACTCCTGTAAAGGAAAGTTGAAATGGGCAGGAGGGCAGGTTCATGCCCACAATCCCAGTCCCGGGGTGGTTGAAGCAGAAGGGTTGCTGTGGCGGGTGTCCAGTCTGGGCCCAAAAAACAGTAAGCAGAAAGCCTCAGGTGGGGAAGACTAGAAAGTATATAAGCCATTAAAAACAAAAACTAGCTGGGCGGTGGTGGTGCATTCCTTTAATCCCAGCACCCAGGAGGCAGAGGCAGGCGGATCTCTGTGAGCTCAAGACCAGCCTGGTCTACAGAGCGAGTTCCAGGACAGCCTCCAAAACAATACAGAGAAACCTTGTCTCGAAAAACCACCACCAACAACAACAGTTACCTGCTCCTGTAAAAGCCCATTTCCTCGAAATCTGTTTTAGGGAATTACATCTCTGGCAGCCCTGTGATCCACTCAGAGAACCCTGGAAAACTTACAGGGCTGAAGCCTCTGCAACCCTAAATTGGCCGGGGACACGTTTATCTTACTTTGATTTACATCTGTGGTCACTACCTGCACTGGTTTTCGCTCAGAGCCTTTTCATCTCTGACTGACTGTTTTAACTGGTTCCTCGTTGGTCTTTCTCTAGATCTGCCCTAAATATCCACCCACAGACCCTCAGTGCAGATGGCATTTTCAATCCACAAATGAGCCACTGGGCTCAAAAGGCTAAGGACAGGGGGAGGAACAAAGCCACAGTTAGATAAGGGCAACACCCTCTGGTTCTGATAGCAGGGTAGAGAGGCCAAGGGGAATACCTTCTGTTTTTAGTAGCACAGTAGAGCAAGCATCATTAACAACTGCACTTCCTGTTTCATGCTAACTAGAAGAGAAGATGCTAAATGTTCGAGGCAATGGATATGCTAATTGCCCTGTTTTGCTCACTACAGAATGTTTACACAGGTGGCACTACACACTCGGTAACTACACGGTTACTCTGTGCCAACTGAAAATTGCAGAAAGCTAATGCCTCTTGTTGCCTCTGGAATGAAGCTTAATCTTCATCAACTTGGTCCCCGAGTCCCTGCGTCCTTCCTCAACCCTCGATAGACCTGGTGGCGGCACATTATGCACATTATGCTACATTACAGGTAATTTAAAAAACTATCACAAAAAACAAACGCCTTCGACTCGTTATTTAAATAGATTCCGCTTAAACGAAAGCCACAAGGTGGTTAATGTATTTTTAATCGCTGTTCTCAAACAATGCGAGTGAAGAAAACAAACATAATCAGAGCAGAATGGTGGCCCGATGGTTTGGAGCCAGGGCTCGGGGGGTTCGAGGGCTCTGTAGCACAGCACGAATACTCTAGCCAGGTTTCCCCACCATTTTCTCCTGTGTCCTTCAAGTCTTTGTCCGAGAAGAGAGAGCAATGCCTGTATCTAAACCCTCAGCAGTGGTGGGATTCACCACGGAAAAGGTGTGTAAATCGCTGCATTCGCACCGTTGCCTCTGAGAAAACTGCTCTATAACCCATCTGGAGCCTTGCACCGTTTGCTTAGAGTTAGGCAACCGTCCAACTTCTTACGTGCATCACTTCTCGTGTCCTGACATGCGGCTCTGTGGTAGCCCAAGAGGGACAGCGATTTTCAGACCTCACTCCTGCCCCTTCCCCACCCCGGGTGCAACCAAGGCTAGCTCACAGAGCCTGGAATACCAACTCTGTTCTCGCCCTCCCTCTTGCTTTATGTGATATTCTCATTCTTCCTTAAGTCACTGGGCGCATTTCCACCTCTTTCTACTTTTAACCGCCTTACTTTTTTATGTAAGATTCTACAATTTGTTACCACCTTTAAATAACATTGTCCTTATTCGTGCAGAAGATACATATTTGCATTTCCTAAGAAACTCCTATTGGTGCAATGACAAGACTTGGCAAAAAAATATTCAGGTTTCATATTTTTATTTGAATAGAGATTAATCTTGTCACCTTCTTCCTTTTTCAAGTGTCTTTCCAATACAATAAAGTGTCCCTCGGGGATGGGGTGCATTTTTCGAGTACAAAATGGTTAATTAAAGTGTTGGGGGAACAAAACTTTTCTAAGACTACAGATACAGAAAAAAACACCACATGTGAGATGCGCAGAAATTAGATATGGGGGTCCCTCAGAATGTGGGGAATTAGTTCCAACACTCCTAGTGGATTAAAGAAAATTAGTACGTGCTCAATTCCTTTATATACAATGGCATAATAATGACACTTACTGCAGGCACACCCTCCTGGGTATACACCTGGATTACACACATTATCTCATGCAGCGCAAATGTTTTGTAAATAATTGTTTTACTGCATTGTTTCAGCACGCATCCACCATGAAACCTTTAAAACTTATTATCAGGGCGTACAGCCTAGGTTACAGGGGTGGAAATGTGTAATAGCGCTGTAGACACTTTGCGGTTTCTTAGAAAGTTAAACACAAGCAAGCATGACCTAGAAAACCAGTGTATAGACAAGATCAGTGAAAACACGTCTCCCCCAAGACTTGCACACAAAGAGTCAAGTCCATATTTGCTACTCCTGTCAACACAGTAGAAACTTCCCAAATACCCATTGGCTGATAAACGATGGGCCAGTATTTGACTTTAAAAAAGTAATGTGACTCTTGCTGCAACACAGATGAGCTCTAAAAAAAACATGACACCAACAGAAAGGAGCCAGCCACGAAAGAGCACACATTGCACAATTTGTGGAAAATGTTCCAGAGGGGAAAAGTCTGTGGGGACAGAGAGCAGAGCGGAGGTTGATTGCGGCTGAAGGAGGTGGATGGGGGGAGGATGGTCCTAAGATACAATTGGGCAGGTGGAGGGACAGAGGTGACAGGAAAGTTCCAAAACAGACTGGTGATGTCTCCGAGACTCTGTCAAATGCCCAGAAACCATGGAACCACACAGTTAATGGTTGAGTTGTATTGTATCTGAATCATTTCCTAATAAAAAACAATATATAAAGGGATGCCACCACACACAGCCATTTCATGGAACGGAGGGAGTCTGGAAGGGCCACACAAGCAGCCATGAATTCTCTCTTCCTCCCTCAGGGTGTGGCTAGTCTAGAACAGTGGTCCTCAACCTGCTTAACACCGTGACCCCTTGACACAGTTCCTCATGTTGTGAGCTCCAGCCACAAGAAATTATTTCCATTGCTACTTCATAGCTGTAATTTTGCTACTGTTATCAACCGTAATGTAAATATTGTGGGAGATAAAGGGTCGCCAAAGGGGTTGCAACACACAGGTTGAGAACTGATCTAGAAGGAGAGACAGAAATACAAGTAAGTTATCGTAACACGATATTCTGGAATAACAGGGAACAGATCCACTCCTATCATCAATAGTACTACAGAAAACCCCAAGCTGGGCGTTGGCGGCGCACGCCTTTAATCCCAGCACCCAGGAGGCAGAGGCAGGCGGATCTCTGTGAGTTCAAGACCAGCCTGGTCTACAGAGCGAGTTCCAGGACAGGCTCCAAAAGCTACACAGAGAAACCCTGTCTTGAAAAAAAAAACTTAAAAAAAAGAAAAGAAAAAGAAAATCCCAAATGTGAGAAAAGTTTACTAAATTGTCTGGAAGAGTAACAGAAAAGGCTCCTGGGAATTCAGAGAGGGAGATTCAAACTGGAGGTCTGAGCGAGTTTGGATTTAAATTAAGAGTAGGAAGTACACATGGAGACTGTTGATAATTATGCCGGTAGCTAACACGCAGCGCATGCTTGCAGTGTGTTCAGAAATAACTGCCTTGGATCTCTGCGTCTCTCAGTCATCTCTCTAGCTCTTCGGCCTTGCGAACCTCACCACAGAGTAGAGGAGGCTGAGCAGAGAATGCCTGCAGATGAGAACCCCTGGCAGAAGCAGCGTGCTCCGGAAGGCGTGTTCCTGGGGAAAGCCGACTGTGAGAAGGGAGGCTCGGAGGAAGGCACCTGGGAGGAGTCAGTAACCCATCAATCAGGCCGTGGTCAAGGACAGAACCCAGGCGGTCCATACAGAATGGCAGTGTCCGGAAGGGCAATGGTTTCGTGGAAGGCAAACGGGAGCCAAAATGGGACTTGACAGGCAAAGGCGGGGTTTAAATGAGTTCACCAGGCCCAAGATAAATGATAAGTAGGTGTTTTACTGGGGAAGCACTTACACAGATAAGAGTAAGTAACCTCCACGGTCTTAATGCTTCAAAAGATGCAGTCTCAGCCCTTCTGACCCAAGAGAGCACGCGCCCACAGCTCCTCTCCCTTAAACGGGTCATGTCTGCACCTGAAACCACGCCCAAAGGGTGTGGCCACTACTACAAGTTCACTGCCAACGCAAGATGCCACTACAGATGGGGACACTCAGAACATACGTACTGGCCAGGCAGAGGAGGAGCACCACCGGGCAGTTTGAAGAAGCACCAGTTCAAGATGGAGCGCCCTGAACGTGAGGGGTTGGGTACCTGTCCACTCAATGATAATTGCAGACATGACGCCTACGAGCCCTGGGCAGGAGAAAGAAAGGGAAACAGATGCTAGAGAAAGAAGCTACATCTAAAGAAAGGGGAAGAAGACATTGGAGAGGCTCTGGGGGAGACAAGAGGGGCCCAAGAACAGAAGCCAAGGTGACACTCTACAAAACGCATCAGGAAAATGAGAGCAACGCCCCAGCCAAGACAAACGTCTTCCGTGGGGATTCCTGGGTGCTATGACAGGGCAGCTCCTGCTTAACTCTAATCAAACGTTATTTTCAGTGTCTGCTGAATGTTCTACTAAAAGCCCAACTGACTTAAGAAAGAACATTTTTGCACTTCCATGACAC